GTGATGCTTCTTATACTTTTATATACCGATGACAATACAATATTCCCAATTTTTTTAGGTCTGCCCCGACGTGGCAATAAATCAAGAATTAAATTTTAAATTCTGCGTTCTCATCCATGGTTGTTTTGTATAACATTTTATATGGTTCATTTCCAGTTTATCCAGTTTATTTTTTCTCCGTTGGTATTTTTGGATCTTTTGTAAACTGCTTCTTCCAAGAGTCTTGTTGATATAAAATCATCTTGTTTCATTTAATTTAGTATAAAAGTATTACCTTTTCTACATTTTTTAATTATATTATAATAATCTTGTGGCACATACAATAACTGATTTCTTTTTCACTTTTTGACATCGTCAATAAAAAGTGGACTTGGGTCACTTTCAAAATTAGGATTTTCAGTATTTATATTATTTTGAAAATGTAATGTGATATAAAATTTTCAAATGTACTAAGTATATTTCAATACCGATTCATTTTTTTTTTGACAGTACAGCATAAATTATAAATGTCACAAGTGCCAACTTGATAAAAGATGAAAATGGACTTAAGCCACTTTCAAAATAAACGACTCATATATAATATTGATAAATTAACAAATCTATAGGTTTTTTACATTTTTTTTTATAAAAAGTATGATCAGAATAGGACGTTTAGGAGTTTCAAATTTGAAAATATTTATTTTTCGTGATGGGTTAATAAATTGGCGACGAACGTGGGGCTTTCATGTTGAATAGAACGATTCGCTGCATGCGAAATAACATGAATAAGGTTTAAGATAATAATGGGAGCGAAGAAATGCTCAGGGTGAGGGCGTTGCTTGGAGCCGAGGGTAAATATTTAAAGGTTATTAGGTAATGGAGGTGTATTAGATAGGCAAGGTAATATTGAGCGATTGGATGTGGGTGGCTGGAAGCGGCCATGTGATAGATATGATAGTTGCGGAATAGTATGCAATTTGAGATAAACGCCGTGCACTATCTATCGCTCCACGTCCTGTGCTATATGCATGTATGCGTTGATTGTATATGTATATGGACTTGTGAGTATATGCATGTATGATCCTATATGTAGCGAAAGGTGCCCTTTCGTAAACTTTGATCCATCGCTAATGATACGCGGTTAGCGAGGAGAAGAAACGCTGCATAGTTGTAATTTAAGTAAGGTTATTTACAATCTGTAAAAATTGCATGGTGAGCAGGCGAGAGAGGCGAATATATAAGTATATCACGTTTGGATCTGCTTTTGTTGCGGAGTGTTGGAGAGCGTTGGAACCCGGAGAGAGGAGAACTTATCCGGTTAGCCGCATTTACAAGCCAACCGCTCTCCGTGAAAACACGGAATCATTACCAGACCATTCCACCTTTTATGGAAACATTTATCTAATCCGATTCGCGAGTAGGGACCCATCCTACCCCAGGATAATGGACGTACCGCGAGATGAATAGAAAGGAAGAAAAGATAGAAAAATTACATCCATTAATACGCGAAATATTCCTTCCTATCTCGCCACTCGAAACTGTTGCTTCGGTGAAGAATGCTACTAGGATCTCTCGACTGGAGAAAACGATATGGTTTCCAACGTGGTCTTCTCCATTTTTTTTCTTTTTCAATCTCACTCTAATCCTACCGTCGTTCCCACTCCAAACTGAAGTCTTGTCTGAAGTGTAGTTTTCATTAGTTTCTTCAGGCAGCGAGCATTCCTGGCATTGAGTATTTGCTAAATGTACTTGGAATACTTGGAGTTCGTAAAGCCATTTTCATTCCTGTCGCCTATACAAACATCGGGGCAATTATGGACGGTCAAAGGCGAATTAGCCCCATACCCAAGATAACGCGCTCTTTACGACCGCGACGTTAATTCGACCAAATTTCGTGTCGGTCCACCTAAATCAGAGCTTCTCAACCTTTTTTTGTTTCATTCTCTCATATAATCTTGTTTCTTCCATTCTGAATCTACCATTACTCACAGTATTTCTTCTGGTACTTGATGAATTCTTATTCAACTTAGTTTTCTTTGATCTTTAAAGATTCTAATCAATTTATATTTGACATCTCCCTTAATTTCCAAACACCCAGTCTACGTGGACATCAAGCAGACGTTCCCAATCAAGGTTTGCGTGCTCGAAGCGCATGACTTCTGAAACAAATTTCGCCTCCTCCACGGAATATACACTACAACTACTCACCACTAATACTGAATGTCAATCGATTTGTTCCCACGCCGAGCAGCCAACAACACAACATGCGTAATCAACGGAGATGGCTATCTTCGCATGTCTGCAATCACTGGCGCATACACATTTCCATCCGCAAACTGAATTATACCGGCCACTATTATCAGACTAATTGCGAGATCCTCTCTCAGACGCACTGCTCTCTCTCTCTCTCATCCCATCTCACGAATCCAAACGAAATGGGCTATATACCCATCACCGCAAAACCTTCAACTCGCAAAGAATTTCATTAGAGCCTCACACACACAGACTCTACGCATACACGTTGTAATTACAATTCCAACGTCCCATTATCCGTAGGGTTTTGCTCTCGTTTCTTCTGCACTTCGCAAAAGATTCTTTTAACCCCAATAATTCCGATCATTAAGTGCACGGCGTCGCTACCGCCGCGCGAAATTACTCACACTCTCATTACACGTAATTAACCTGCGGATCCGAAGATATTTCGTGATCACTTAACCTCGTGCTCTTCCCACTTAAATAGGAAACATAAAATCCACAAGCTCACATCACCACTCTTCTTTAATGACGTCCAATTATTGCACACACTTGCAGAGCAAAAGCACACAAACAAAAGGGGGAAAAAATAATACTGAAGCACAAACCGCCGACGGTCTGCTATCAATCACGTCGTAATTAACTGCTCTAATTATTGACTGCATAATTACGATCGAAACACAAACAAACAATCAAAAAAACAACCTTTATATCTCCGCACATAAAACATCTCTAATTATTATCATAACAAAAATTCGAGTATTTTGAATTATTCCATTAATCAAAACTCTATTAACATTAATTATTTCATGATATAATAACTAATGTAATTACTACAAATACTAATGACATTGAAAACTGTATATTTGAAGTCAATGTACGTATGTATGAGAAATATTGAAAATTATATAAAATTTAGATTGAGAAAAGTATATGGAAAATTGAGAAGTAATGAAGAACACGCGATGGTTACGTTATATAATGAGACGTTGGTAATAATAATAAAAAAAAAGAAACCAAGAAGCGCAATATAAATGGAGAGTGAGATGGACGGAGCAGACGGAGTGGAGAAAGTACACGGACTTCTGACTTTGTAAAGCCGATTACCAGAGGTAAATGTAAATGAAGAAGAACAATCAGCCAATCGGACACGTTTGTCAATTAGAGGATGATAATCCCGACAGATTAGATTCACTGTTAGAAAAGTGGGAAAATTAATTAGCAGATGGCCGGAAATCGTGCCGAAGAGATTACGTTTATATATATGCATGTGTAGTGTGTATATGTATATGTATATATATATTTATATTTCAATATTGTACGTACACCAAACGTGTTTTCATCTCGGAAAAGACCAAACAGCCTGCAGCTTTAATAGAAAACACATTGATTGCACCGTAATAACAGTCTTTGTGCCCCCATGCCAATGCGGAAACCATCGACGTCGAACGATAGCCCAAAATCTTGACCGTGCTCTTTTCGATCTTAAATGCGTAATCCAATCTGTAATCTGCTAATTTTTCTTTCTTTTCTGTTGCAGGTGGCTTGACGAAGTCGCAGTATCCAGTTTTCACCATCTACGCCCATAAGAGCTGCTTGGGGGTGAAGCCGTGCGAACGCGCCTGGTGCATAGATCGCGTGCAGAACTACCGCCTCGCAGGATACGCCAAGAGCCACCAAGTGGTGAACTCACGTCAGGAGTGTCTGGAACTTTGCTTAGGAGAGACGGACTTCCAGTGTCGGTAAGTTATCCAGACTGTTTCAATATGCAACTACCATTGAAAACCTAATACCAGTTGCAACAAATCTTCAAGATCAAAATGACCAAACATTTTTTGTAGAACTAGAGATTCAAAGCTTTGAATTCAATATGAATCCATGAAATTTTAATTTGGTGATAAATTTTTAATCAATTCTCAAACGTGATGAATCCAAATCAAAACATTGCAATTCGAATTCTGAGATTAGTATGTAGACTACGTGAAGTATGAGTTTAAAGTATCGGAGATTATCAAGAGAAAATAGTAACTAATAATAGTTAGGTAGGCCCGTCGGCTTTTTCCAGAATCTTAAGGTGAAATGCAAAAGTTGCGCAAATTGCGGATAATTACCGATAATTGGCAGCGAACGGCGTCGAGCAAATCGTATTTACATTGAATGCCATCTATTAATCATCCCCCTGAAGTCACTGCTTATCATATAATATGATACGAGCAGCGGAGCAGAGCGGGCGCTTTAACGATCGAAGAGACGGATTTGCACAAATCACAAATCCAAATCGATTCCTTTGATGGAGGCCCTGAGAGCCGCGACCACCGCTTCTCTTCTACAACTATATACATGTATATACAAATACATGTATATATTATATACAAGTATATCTAAATCTATGCAATAATGACCGGCCACGGCTCCAGAGATTTCCTCTTCTTTGCTCGAAAACAGCTCTGGGCCGACATTCTGGAACGCCCACATCACACTCACGACTTCATTATCACACCACAAAGGACTGTAATTGTTACTTAAGTAGCTCTCTCTATTTTCATGCGACTACCATCATACCATATCCAGATTCCTTTATTGCCGAACAAACTTTTCACCGCCGCTGCAGCAGCAGCCGCTTTCCGTGCTCAAACGGCCCTTTGTTCTCCGCTCCTAACTTATTTATTAAACTGCTACCTATTTGCATAAAACGCTACCACTGGGAATTATTTCGTTTAATATACTGAATTCAATTTCAAACATCCGAACAACCTTCTGACTTCCACACTCACAATTTCTAAAGAAAATTATTTAATTAAGTTGAATCTTAACTTTCGCACTGATTCAAATCGTTTGCTTTCATTCAAAATATTTATTCATTTACAAATATTTCTGCAGTGACACTTATAAATATTTAAACAAGAGTTATGCAATGCAATATAATATGTGGTAAGCAAGTGAAAAAGGTCTCTGCATTAAGGTTCAATTATGAGGTGGATGGAATTCTCCGATGACTGTGATTCGGGGATTGATTGGAGTGGCGACGACGGAATTTAATTTGGCGGTGCGGACGGGCTGATTCGATCGAATGGGAAAGAGGAGGAGGAGGAGGAAGTGGACCAAACAGTATTAAATTAGATCGAGGAAAGGTTGCCGGTCAACCTAGGAAGAGGAGCGGAAGACTGGAGCTCCGGCGATAATTACTAAAGTTTAAAGCTGCAACCCCCCACAGTTCGCCCCAAATAATATTAAGTCCATTTCCGCGTTTCCCTTGGGAATACGCAGACGTGCATTAAAGTTATTATTAATCTGATACATCGAAAATCTCTCTCTCTGTATATATCTTTCTCTCATCCACGCACGGCTTTAGCGGGTATTTTGATACGCGCATCCACTGTAGATTATGTTGTCACCCGTGAGTTACATAACGCGATTTGCATGAAAGCGGATAATCGTCGAGCAAGAGAAAAACACATTGAAAATGCCGTTTAACATCCTTATCTCGTCCCGTACAATGTTAATTAAAGATATGCTCAATGAAATGCGCTCGATGAGGCATCGATGCTCTTTTACATTTCATATAATTGCTGTGGAATAACTTATTATCTCCCTAGTGAATATCAATTAAAATAACTCAACCTATAAATAGGGCGGAATACACTCAAAAGCACGCAAACCCGATGAGAGAGTGTTAGTGTGTAAGCGAGTAGGAAGAAGAAAGAAACAGAGAAGTGAATGCCTTTTTGCGAAATTTATGGCGAAAACCGCCCCCGCCAGTAAATCGCGCAGAGAGCACCATTCGTTCGCGTTAACATTATTTGTCGATAAGTGTAATGTATCATAAAAGTAGATTTCCACAAAAGGGCGCTCACATATAGCGCTGAAAATAGAAGAAGAAAGAGAAAAAGAGAGCACGGCCCATTTGGCCCTGGAAATTTTTAAAAGAAAATAACAAGCTTTCCTGCGTCCAAGTTTTATTCTTATTTAATCCAATCCATTTATCCGATCGATGACCGACCAGGAAGTGGAGAAAACAACAATCCCTTAATCCATATTTACGATTAGAAGAAGTTATCCACCCAGACAGAAAGTTGAAAATAAAAATCTATTTAATTTCGAGATGGCGCGCTGCTATTTGCACACAAAAAAAACTGCCTTTCATCTATTAGTAGTCAACAATTACAAACGTAATGAGTGTAATCATCATCAATTTAATAGCCTGTAAGTGATCCTCGTGCAACTCTAATAGCATTAACTCTATTACAGCCAAATTGATAGATACAAAAAAAAAAGAGACATGCATTATAATGATAAATAATCACTAATAGGTAATTTCCTAACATATACATCATGAAAAATAAACATTATTTGTTTAAATGTGTAATTATTTTATATATTGCAATCTTAACCATCATAAAGCAACTTAAATTAATAAACTAAATAATTTTAAGTATATTCTAGTAGTTAACGAAATGAAATCCGTGCATTTCACGCTAAAGAAAGACACCTGCCCAACTGTAAGACTTAATGGACAAGATCTGTCCAAAGCAACAAAAGTCAAATATCTAGGCATGCATCTAGACAGAAGATTCACCTGGAAAGATCACATTCAGGCTAAGAGTGAGCAATTAGAAATAAAGTTTGGAAAACTGTACTGGCTTCTAGGGAAAAGGTCGGAATTATCAGTGGAAAATAAATTACGTATATACAAAGTATATAAGTATATCACACGTCCATACTGAAACCAGTATGGACGTATGGTATCCAATTGTGGGGTGCGGACAGTAAATCGAACATACAAATTATACAAAGGTTCCAATCAAAATGGCCCTAGCCCCATGGTTCGTCAGGAATAAATAAATACACGAAGATTTTCATATAGATATGGTCGAGGATACAATAGCAACATTTAGTAGTAGATACCAAGATAGACTGGAGTCACATACTAATGTTATATATATTATATAGATTTAAGTAATTATTAATGTTGAAATCATCATAATCGTAAACTATCCACCGGGAAAGATTATCCATCTATTGTCAACCGTGATCTTAAATTTACTCAATGTTCACATTGATGAACAAAATTATACAACATAAAAAAAAGTATATTCTAAATTTATGTATTGAAACTAATAACTTCTTGTTATTTATTTATTATAGAGCAAAATATTAAAATGTTGTATATCTGATATTATATTGACATTTCTTGTTTGATTATATAATATAATTCCTTGGTAATGGTAATAGTGATTGAAAATTCATAGCGAAGAAAGGAGAATACTAGAATTCCAAATATGAAACGGCAAGTGGCGACGTGTAAAAAGATCGACAAGAATTTAATTATAAAAGCAATTACTAGATGGCGTTATTATTTATAAATTACGGAATATATTAATAATGATTATTATAACAGTAATGAAGGTAATAATCATCATCATCTTAACAATGATAGCCTGTAAGTGAGCCCCGTACGGCTAATAATTATTATTAATTATGGTCAAGGAGAAAAACGATTAACGAAACAAACGGACGGTCGGCAAAAAAAGGATCAGCGCGACCGCAACGTAGAAGAAGAAGGAGGAGGAGACGACGAAGAAGATGATGAAGAGAAGAAAAGGCCGGAGGAAGATATTCTCCTTATAAGACGCGTGGCGGCGATTAATCGAGGGCCCCGGGGGGCATTGTTTGAGTTATTGAATGTTTTTCGCGTTCCGTAATTGCGAAAAATGACTACATTGTGGCCTGTATAAATAAGAAGTGCGGGATTGTTCGTGGCTAGATGGACGGATGATGAAGGAGAAGAAGGAACTTGGACGAGATACGGGTTTTCTTTTCTTTCTTCTCCGGGCTAAGAAGAAGAAAAAGAAATAAAAAAAGAGGAGAGTCGATAGTGGGTTAGGGCACTAAGAGGAGGAGGATGACAAAAATCGGGTTTCTTGCTGTAATCGTCGGATCGTGTTTCCATTTTCAACGATTCCTATCCGATTTCACGGGGGGAATTGTCGGCGACACGATCGAGCCATAACTTAAATAATTGACACTGTTACGCACAATTGGTCAACCTTTACAATATTTTATTTTAATTTTTTTTTATAACAGCCACTCGAAGACATAGATTTCGCGACGTCGATTCCAATTACTCACCACAACATAATTTCCTATTTACTTATGTTTCCCCTTAACTAACCACTTGCCACGTGCTCACTCTTCCGTGTCTACTGTTAATACCGCTTAATCAAACAAATGGTCTTCTACTTATTACATTCTCGACTGTATCAACTACCATATGTTACAAATATCTTCACATTCTTAATCCTTTAAAATATATTATTTTATTCATATCATCAAATGTTACGTACTTTTTGATGACCAACGTGGGGCTTTTTATCAGGATGAATCTATGGTGATGAATCAAGGGCACTAATGAATTCAATTTATATGCAGAGAGTTGTGGGCGTATTAAAAAGCACCTTAGATCAGCGGAAAAACTAGTTTTCATAGGCGAATTAAAATATTATCCCTCGGATAACTCATTTTCCATTAAAGAGAGCACGGACGTTTATAGGGATCCGCTGAATTACGGACTTAATCTCGATCGCCCTCGGATTACGGCATCATCTGCAATTCATAGTCGCGTTTAATATTAGCAGTCGGCCGGCAAATCTATACGATCCGCGAATTCCCAATTCATATCAATACAGTCCGGATTGAGGATTAAGTGCCTCAGAGTTATTTCATTTCTATACATATAGATTTT